ACACACACACACCAAACTGCATTTCTTTTCTTTCTACGGCCTGTGTGCCAGCGTGAGATGCAGCACGGCTCGGCTCGGCTCGGCTGTGCTATCCTTTGTGGATCTCTGCAAAAACATCAACTTTTGTAAATGAGGCCTGAGCTGAAAGCGAGCTAATGTTCAGAGAGAGAATGAGAGAGAGAGAGAGAGAGAGACTGCAGGGATGGGAATTACATTTTTACGTGTGTGTGTGTGTGTGTGTTAGTGAGGAGGGGGGTATCAAAGTGGAGGCCGATGGGACTTAAAAGTCATCCACGAGAGCACTTTGACAGAGAAACTTAGACATCAATAGTCGGCGGAACAAAAAAAAAAAAAGAAGAACAAAGTAATGTTGGAGGTTGTGTGTGGAGGCCTGTAGTGATGCTGCTTATTACAGGCAGGAGCACAGTGGAGGATAAGAGCACCTGAACGCACCTTAATGGGTTTTTTTACGCACAGAGAGCAAAATGAAAGTGATGAAGAGTGTGGTCAGACGTATGGATGAAGAGAGGCGGGGTACGCAGGGAACATGTCTGACATGTTTTGCTGTGAACTGTTCTGGGTTTGTGTTCCCTGGCTGCTGACTCGAGGTCAAACACTTTTACGAACCGTTTTATTTCCACCACATCTGAAGTCCGAGCAGTCAGTGGGCCCGTGGAGGGTCTGCCCGAAATACCATCACCCCTCCTCTCTCCCCTGCACACACAAACACACACTCACACACAGGCTCCGTTAAATTATGCAAAAAGGCCATTCAACAAATATGGCCCTCACACAACACAAAAGAGTCGGGTTATTCTGACATTTCCCTTACATTTCTTGTTTTTTTCCCCTCCTCTCTCGATGTGAGTAAGACCCCGAGATAAACCCCTGAACAAGTATCAAGTTATCAAGTTGCACCAACCTTTTGTAATAAGAGTATTTTGTCTAATCCCAAATTGCAGTTGAATTTTCTTAATGCTGAGCTGGTAAAGCCTGGGATTAGGCGGCGAGGAGAGGAGGGGGAAAAGTTTTGTCCCTTCAGCCGGCAGGATTGGAAGCGGGGATCTGCGGGGATGTTGTCGGTGCTTATTAAAACGATGATGCATAAAACAGAGTGCTGTAGGAGCCCCGGCGCTGCACGCAGAGACCCGGGCTCCCTCAGGTGCAGGTTTTTGGACGGCGGCATGGAAAGGAAGTAATGCAGAGGGCCGAGCGGCGCTCAGCACCTGTGAGGTGAGGCCAGGAGACATCAAAGCTCAGGAGATAATCCATTCAGCTGAAGGATCCTCAGCAGCACAGCAGCGCCGAGGCACCGCCGCTTTTTACGCAGCGCGCCGCTCTTATTCACTGAAATATAGGAAAGTGACACCAAATGTTTTTCACTGCTTCTGCTTCAACAGGGACAGTAAAGACACTCGAGCGACGCCACAGAGGTAAGACACGACTGTTTCTGTCTTTTTATTATTTCTTTATTCTAAAAAACATTCAGAAAAAAATGTTAAAATATCAGATTCATCACCTGGAAGGATTTCTTTCATTTGGCATTGGTGTAATTTTCACTAAACCCGGCTCTGATTAAGATGAAGAAAATAACTTTATTGCATTTTATACTGATATTAAAAGAGGAAGAAACATCAAAACTTTTAATCAAATTCAGGAGAAGTTTTACGCACAGACATTTCTGTCAGGATAAAATCAGCCAGCTTTTAAAACAACACAGGGAATATTCACACTATTTATATAATGACTTTAAATCCATGTAGAAGTGACAGGTGTTGTGAATAATTTTAAGGTTGTCTACACTCACACACACACACACTCACACACACACAGAGCCACATGCAGCCCTCTGACGGCACCGAGCAAAACGTCCTTCACCGCTTTGGCTCTCTGCTTTATTCTGCAGATTACAGACGGCCGTGATAAACGCGCTATAATACAAAGTAAAACAAAGCGCCTCGGGGGACGTAAAGTGCGTAATGTGCACGTACGGTCGGTCCCAAGCAGAGAAGAAACGAATCAGCAAATTAATTTGAAAGTATTAGAAAGGCCGGGGAGGACGTCTGCTGTCACAACCTATTTTCTTGCTTTAATCGAGGATGGGAGGCTGCCTGCAGGGCTGGTGTGGAGGGTTAAAGCACAGACACTGTTCTTCTGATTCTCATTGCAGGGCAAGGACATTTTCACTGTTTATTTCAGTTTGACATCAGTGAGCGTTCAGACAACTTGAAGCCTTAAAAAGCTAATTTAAGGTGGTGATTAATATTATTATATTAATATTGATAGTTTTTCCGACCTTCCAGTTTTTATTTCCATCTCCATCCCTGGCTGCGGGTGACCGATTCTCTCCAGCTCAGCCCCCCGTCTCCAGCGCGCACAGAAGCGGCCCAGAGAGAGAGAGAGGGAGAGAGGGAGAGAGAGAGAGAGAGAGGGAGAGAAACATCTGCTCGGTACAAAGTGATTTCTCTAATCTTCCTCAGAGGAACCTGCTCAGCACCGACCTCAAACAAAAAACCCCGAACGCCAATTTTAATTTATAAACACGCACCAGTCGCATGGGAATTGAACAGAGGGCCGAATAATAAGCATTGCTAAACGCAACGCTCGCTGCTGAATGCAGTGATAGGGGCCACTTATGTGCAGCGCTGCAGCCAAAGGCGTGCATGCATTTCAATAAGTTTTTGTAGAAAGAAACCAAAAAAAAAAATCAGGAATATGATCTGGATCACGTGGAACTGGAGGTAACATTCACAAATTAATAGAGAAAAACAAGCAAAGTGTTGCAAGTTTTACAAGTGTGTGTGCATTATAAAAAACAAAAAACTAACTTTGAGTACACCGATTGCATTAAAATTCATCTGTGGGATATTAAAGCAATTATGGAAGCGTTTCAATGCGTGTAGATTAAATACCTGCAGCTTTAAGATATCTGCGTTATTTTCCACAGGGTCGAAAATAAGCCACACGCTGCCCTTGGTGGAGTATGAAATCATAAGGACTTTATTATTGAAGACTTGGGTTATGACACTGGAATAAATAAACAGATAAATGTTCAACATGTAAAGGACAACTGCACCAGATGTGGAGCTCTAAGTGATGCACGTGGAAGCATATTTCTCTTCTTCAGAATATAATAAATAGAAACCAAAAGTTGTTGAGGAAAAAGCACAAATGAAATGAAATGTGATGGTAGATTCACTTACAAGCAGCTTAAAAGGACAAACGGCAATAAATAATATATATATTTTTTGTTTTTGACTGCATGAATCCTGACAAAAAGGGATTTGGGAAGCTATTGGTCAGAGCAGTGATGAAAATATACAACATGAGATTTGTTTTCTCAAACATGATCTTTCTTTTGGTAAACTGCTTTCAAGCCAAGACAATAAAAAAAAAGCAATAGGAAAGTTAAGATTTATGCAAGATTTATGAACGGTAATGCGTTCCCCCTTTAAGATATTTTACAAGTAAAAACTTTAAAATGAAATAATTAAAAGTTACACGGTCAAGTAATGAAGTAGCTTGAAAAGACTGATATTATAACTTTTTTTTTCCTTTTAAAAGTCCAACTGAAACATCAACGTCATCATCATCATCATCTTGTCAACATGATGGGAGAAAAAAAAAAAAAAAAAATTCCCACCCATTAAACCCAGTTGTGCTGTACCTCAATCCTACTGGTCTCCACATTCAGACAGAGAAGACTGTGCTGCTGCATCATTACATGCAAATATCACACTGTCTGACAGGGTCTCTGTTCTCATACATATTTATATTACATACAAGTACCGTTCTTGGTAAAGAAAAGGAGAATTCAAATAAAAAACATTGTATGTAAGTGGGACAGTTTGAGTCAGTATAAAGTTGGTGCAAAGGCATCGCAGGGTCTCTGCGGTTAATACGACCAAAACAACAACCACATCAGGATTCCAATAACTGACAGAAATGTCTAGGAAAGCCACTATGAAATAATAA